TTTTGGGGCCAAATTTTTCATGAAAATTAAAAAATGACGTTTAAAAATAGGGTCAAAATGAACAATGCAGACATTCCTGGCTCTAAAATAAATTTTTTTTGTTCCAGTACTCCCCGGGCCCCCCTTGATATACTTTTCCCTTTTATTTTGAATTTTTTTTTTCAAAAAAAAAAATAGAAGATTAACTTTTAGCAACTCTGCAGTATTGTAATATTGTATAAAAATGTCAACCCATTCTAAATGCATATTAGAAGAACAATGAACACAAAATACTTTAAAGATAAAAAAAAAAGATATGGGAGTATCGAATACTTGCGGGGTCTGATACCATCTTTTTCCGCTACTTTCTGAATTCGTCTGAAGAACCTACTGGAGGCAAACGTTTTCGGAAATAAATTTTGCCTAACTTTGCCTATTGTCTTATCACCAGCCATCTGTGACCTGCTGACGAATTTTGATCCGAAAACAGAACCATAAATTATTCACAATCATTTTTAAATTTGAACATTTAAATTCCTGTATTGAAAATCAGTAAAACCTTTACTGTAAAAAGTATTGGATACAAATTTTAATTTTATTATAAAAATTTTTTCTATTTGTAACTTTTTATTACTGTATTTCAAAAAAATTTTCTTTTTTTTCAGGTACATCCTTTGAATTATCCGCGACACAACATCCCTTTTCTAAACTTAACCCCCCCAAACCTCAGGTAAAGGGTCCCCAAAGTTTAAAATTTACTACTTACCCCAGTGCTCCAGGTAATTCCAATAACTTGATTACATTTTTTAATTTGTCTTGCTGTTAAAAAAAATTATGTACATGATTTTCTATCGACTGTGATTTGCTTCTTAGTCGTGTGCTCCCCTTTTGTTGTTTTCTCTCCCTTTCCTTCTGCTTTTTTCCCCTCATTTTCTGTGCATCACCCCCGGTACTAAAAATTTTAAATGATAAAAATAAATGAAAAGTTTTTCCAAAATACATATAGTCTATTTATTTGCAAAGCCCATACAATATGATCAGATCACTGAAGCAACAGTATATGACTTAATGATTAGAACACTAACACAATAAAAAATTACTTTAAAATTTTAAATATATACATTTTTGACTGCAGCTGTTATGATGGCAAGGCATTTTCTTCTAAAGTCAGGGCCAAACCTCTTAAAAAAAAGGCCCCTTTAAATAAGGAGACCCCAACCCACTTTTAAACTCTTCTGGACAACAAATATTTCAGGTAGCTGACTTAAAATTTCCATCTGGGGTAAGTAAAATTAATTTTATTAAATTTAAAGGACATTTTTGTTGGTACATAGTTTTCCAGTATATTTTTTTGAATGTCTGGTAATTAAGAAATTCTATCTTTTTTTCAGGAAATTGCAGTACATATTTCCCTTTTAACATAGATATATTATGACCATGGTCTATATACCAGGCCCACTGTCACTTAAAACATCGTACTTTTGACACAACCCCACATCCATGGTTTCCACTAAGTCTCTCTGTTTTACTGGGGGTATGGTTATCCTACTACATTGTCACCATAATCCCCCCAAAAAATCAATGTGGCAACTTTTGGGTTTGTGATCTAATGGGGAAGAATCCCATTTTAAATAAAAGGGGAACTTTCCCATGAACAAAACATCTCCAGGGTTTACCATAAGGGTAACAGAGCCAAATTTTTTTTTGATCAATGATATATCTTCCAAAAAATCAAAACCCTACGTACGGCACAAAGGATCTTGGGAAACACATTATTCTTATAAAATTTTTGTTCCTTTTATATGAAAATTAAAATTCTTTAAATATTATTTTTTGTCGATCATTGGGGATCTCGAGGACCTTGAAAAGGGTTAAAACCCCCCTTAATTTGAATACAATTTTGGGGGTGGGGGAAAACCCATATGTTCTGTGGGCATCTGATTTAGGGGGGCTTGTTCTGGATCCCCTAATTTCCAGGTTCTTGTAGCAGATCGAAAAAACAAACAATGCGGCATGTCACTAGATGGGTGATCTTTACCGAAATCTACAAAAATTTTACATTCTGTTTTTTATGCTACTTTTGTTTTTCATTTTGATCACACAACAATTTAAAATTTCGGATGACATATTACAGTGTACCTTGAGATACGAACAGCTCAAAACTCGAACAGTTATTAAGTTACATTTTTTGTTTTAAGAAAAGGACACAAGTGCAACTAATGGACATTTATTGTGGCAAAGTTTCGCCTCCAGGAGCTTTTTCAAGCCATTACAAACAATACATGACACGAGGGGAAAATTAAAGGCTCAAGTAGGGGAATACTAGTGAGGTACCAAATTTTAGGTTTACTAGTGGTAGTATAGTAGTATAGTGGTAGTGACAAAAGTAAAACAAAAAGGTAGAGCAATTAATTCGACATGAGTAAAGGAATAAAAGCAAAAACTTGGGGAACATAAAAAAAGGTTGGACAAATATAAACTGGAATGAGGCAGCTTGTTTCAGTGTTCACTCTCTGTGCTTTGTGTAGTATAACAGGAGAGACTATGTGATGGCAGGGTTTACTGTTTTCAGGAGGATTCTTGCTAAGACTTCGGAGATGGTGAAGCTGCCGTTGTTTAGTTTAATTGTATTCGAAACAGCGATCAGTGCTGATTCGAGGCACTTGCGTCTGCGGAAATTAGTTTCTTTGATCACTAATTGGGCGTCTCTGAATTTCATGAGATGACTGGTGGAATTTCGGTGTTGTACACAGGCGTTGTTCAGGTTATCGTTCCTAAAATGCGTAAATGTGTTCATTGAGGCGGGTGTCGAGGTTTCTGGCTGTTTCACCTACGTAAATCTTGTCACAGCCTCCACAGGGTATAGTGTAAACTCCTGCATTGACTGGTTCGTGGTGCTTGGATTTTGTCCTGGTTAGATCCTTTATTGAAGTGCTTGAAGAGATGGCGACTCTGGTGTTAGCTTGTGAAAGTGCTTTTGAGACATTCAGTGCAACCTGACTGTTGGGAAGAATTATAACTTTGCTGGGAGTGGTGTTGATGCGTGGAGAATTTATGATCTGAAGAGCTCTTTTCTTGCAGTCTTTGATGAAAAAAGAAGGAAAATGTAACTCTGTGAATGTTTGGTGAATGTATGTACACTCCTCGTCAAGAAACTCAGGACTACAAATTCGGTATGCTCTTAGGAAAAACCCGATGATGATGCCTCTTTTGGTCTTGGTATCTTGACTGGAATAGAAGTGTGTGAGATCATTTTTATTGGTGGGTTTCCGATAAAAATTATCTCACACACTTCTATTCCAGTCAAGATACCAAGACCAAAAGAGGCATCATCATCGGGTTTTTCCTAAGAGCATACCGAATTTGTAGTCCTGAGTTTCTTGTTGAGGAGTGTACATACATTCACCAAACATTCACAGAGTTACATTTTCCTTTTTTTTTTCATCAAAGACTGCAAGAAAAGAGCCCACATCTCTCCGACTCAAGTTTTCTTACTGCAGGTACTTCGACGTATATCGCAGCTGCTCGACAGTAGAGAGATTGCAAGATTCAGTACGAGGTGGTCCGAAACCGAGCGTGGAGAGGGAGTGCTTGAACTCTTAGTTAAATTTGGAAGAAGGCAGTAAGAGCTCTTCAGATCATAAATTCTCCACGCATCAACACCACTCCCAGCAAAGTTATAATTCTTCCCAACAGTCAGGTTGCACTGAACGTCTCAAAAGCACTTTCACAAGCTAACACCAGAGTCGCCATCGCTTCAAGCACTTCAATAAAGGATCTAACCAGGACAAAATCCAAGCACCACGAACCAGTCAATGCAGGAGTTTACACTATACCCTGTGGAGGCTGTGACAAGATTTACGTAGGTGAAACAGCCAGAAACCTCGACACCCGCCTCAATGAACACATTTACGCATGTAGGAACGATAACCTGAACAACGCCTTTGTACAACACCGAAATTCCACCAGTCATCTCATGAAATTCAGAGACGCCCAATTAGTGATCAAAGAAACTAATTTCCGCAGACGCAAGTGCCTCGAATCAGCACTGATCGCTGTTTCGAATACAATTAAACAAAACAACGGCAGCTTCACCATCTCCGAAGTCTTAGCAAGAATCCTCCTGAAAACAGTAAACCCTGCCATCACATAGTCTCTCCTGTTATACTACACAAAGCACAGAGAGTGAACACTGAAACAAGCTGCCTCATTCCAGTTTATATTTGTCCAACCTATTTTTATGTTACCCAAGTAATAGCTTTTATATCCTTTTACTCATGTACGAATTAATTGCTCTACCATATTGTATTACTTTTGTCACTACCACTACTACTACTACTACTACTACTACACTACCACTAGTGAACCTCAAATTGGTACCTCACTAGTATTACACCTCACTCTGAGCCTTTATATACCCTCTGTGTCCATGTATTGTTTGTAATGGCTTGATAAAGCTCCTGGAGAGCGAAACGTTGCCACAATAAATGTCACATTAGTTGCACTTGTGTCCTTTTACTTTACATATTGTCGGTAATTCTACCAACTTTATTACAAGTGTACATTTATGTAAGTGCTTTTGTAAGTGTAATTTTGGGGGTCTGAAGCGGATTAATTTAATTTACATTATTCCTTATGGGAACAAATTCGTTCGGTATCGGCACTTGAACAGCCATCTGGAACGAATTAAGTTCGTAACTCTAGGTACCGCTGTATTTATCTCCTGCACTTGTGCTATATTATTTTAATATTTCATTAAGATTTTTTGCATTATTTTCAAACATGCTGGCCATCCTCCACCAAGGCAGGGTGACCTGAAAATGAAGAAATAACAAGTTTTCCTTCTTACATTTAGTAATTTATGCAAGAGAAGGGGCTACTGGCCCCTTGCTCCCGTCATTTTAGTTGTCTTTTACAACATTCATGTCTTACAGAGGAAGAATTCTTCTCCTTTTCTCCATGGATAATTCAATTGCTTTGTTTCTATTAAAATATGGCCTTATGATATTGGGAATTTTCAGGACTTCAGTGACAAATTTAAGGGCCAACACACAGCAAGCTTTCTTCAAGCAACTTCGCTCAGCATTGCACCTTAATAGCCGCTTCTTCTGGACAGATGGCAATGACGTCTTAACTGAAGAGCTGAATAATGGAACATTTTATCATAATAGGTAAGGTAAAAATTTAGACATACTTCTAAACATTGTGTTGCGTAGGGAGACACTGGTCAGAGAAATAGCAAGCATCGAACTTAAGCTAAAAGAATCCTTTAGGAGTCAGGAATCGCGGGAAGAACTAAAAGCCATAAATGAAATCGAAAGAAACCCAAAGTATTTCTTCTCCTATGCCAAATCAAAATCGAGAACAACGTCCAGTATTGGGCCCCTACTTAAACAAGATGGGTCCTACACAGATGACAGCAAGGAAATGAGTGAGCTACTCAAGTCCCAAAATGACTCAGTTTTTACCAAGCCGCTAACCAGACTAAGAGTCGAAGATCAAAATTAATTTTTTATGAGAGAGCCACAAAATTTGATTAACACAAGCCTATCCGATGTTATCCTGACGCCAAATGACTTCGAACAGGCGATAAATGACATGCCCATGCACTCTGCCCCAGGGCCAGACTCATGGAACTCTGTGTTCATCAAGAACTGCAAGAAGCCTCTATCACGAGCCTTTTCCATCCTATGGAGAGGGAGCATGGACACGGGGGTCGTCTCACAGTTACTAAAAACAACAGACATAGCCCCACTCCACAAAGGGGGCAGTAAAGCAACAGCAAAGAACTACAGACCAATAGCACTAACATTCCATATCATAAAAATCTTTGAAAGGGTCCTAAGAAGCAAGATCACCACCCATCTAGAAACCCATCAGTTACACAACCCAGGGCAACATGGGTTTAGAACAGGTCGCTCCTGTCTGTCTCAACTATTGGATCACTACGACAAGGTCCTAAATGCACTAGAAGACAAAAAGAATGCAGATGTAATATATACAGACTTTGCAAAAGCCTTCGACAAGTGTGACCATGGTGTAATAGCGCACAAAATGCGTGCTAAAGGAATAACAGGAAAAGTCGGTCGATGGATCTATAATTTCCTCACTAACAGAACACAGAGAGTAGTCGTCAACAGAGTAAAGTCCGAGGCAGCTATGGTGAAAAGCTCTGTTCCACAAGGCACAGTACTCGCTCCCATCTTGTTCCTCATCCTCATATCCGACATAGACAAGGATGTCAGCCACAGCACCGTGTCTTCCTTTGCAGATGACACCCGAATCTGCATGACAGTGTCTTCCAGTGCAGACACTGCAAAGCTCTAGGCGGACATCAACCAAATCTTTCAGTGGGCTGCAGAAAACAATATGAAGTTCAACGATGAGAAATTTCAATTACTCAGATATGGTAAACATGAGGAAATTAAATCTTCATCAGAGTACAAAACAAATTCTGGCCACAAAATAGAGCGAAACACCAACGTCAAAGACCTGGGAGTGATCATGTCGGAGGATCTCACCTTCAAGGACCATAACATTGTATCAATCGCATCTGCTAGAAAAATGACAGGATGGATAATGAGAACCTTCAAAACTAGGGAGGCCAAGCCCATGATGACACTCTTCAGGTCACTTGTTCTATCTAGGCTGGAATATTGCTGCACACTAACAGCACCTTTCAAGGCAGGTTAAATTGCCGACCTAGAAAATGTACAGAGAACTTTCATGGCGCGCATAACGGAGATAAAACACCTCAATTATTGGGAGCGCTTGAGGTTCCTAAACCTGTATTCCCTGGAACGCAGGAGGGAGAGATACATGATTATAAACACCTGGAAAATCCTAGAGGGACTAGTACTGAACTTGCACACGAAAATCACTCACTACGAAAGCAAAAGACTTGGCAGACGATGCAACATCCCCCCAATGAAAAGCAGGGGTGTCACTAGCACGTTAAGAGACCATACAATAAGTGTCAGGGGCCCAAGACTGTTCAACTGCCTCCCAGCACACATAAGGGGGATTACCAACAGACCCCTGGCAGTCTTCAAGCTGGCACTGGACAAGCACCTAAAGTCAGTTCCTGATCAGCCGGGCTGTGGCTCGTACGTTGGTTTGCGTGCAGCCAGCAGCAACAGCCTGGTTGATCAGGCTCTGATCCACCAGGAGGCCTGGTCACAGACCGGGCCGCGGGGGCGTTGACCCCCGGAACTCTCTCCAGGTAAACTCCAGGTAAACATCACTGTAGATTGTAACAGGATCCCCTTTTATCTCGGTAAAAGCCTAACCAAGGTTGCATAGTATTCTGGCACCTAGACTTTACATTTAATCAAGTTTGTAAATTGCTACAATCTTATTACTGTGCTAAATCTTACCTGATAAGCCTTTACCTCTAAGGATGTACACATATTCAGTTCTGTTCTTTGGTTTAGCTTTTAATAAACCAGCATTGTTATTTACAGTTACCTTGTGATGAAAGGAGTTAACATTGGTTGCTTGGTGGCTTTTCATGGTTCCACACAACCAGTTCCTGTTCCATTAAATCCTCCTAGTAACCTCCAGGCAGTGTTTACCCGAAGGTCAGCCACTCTCAGCTGGGATTCACCGGGTTTACCTGACCTCATGGGTATGTGCCATTGCTAGCTGATGTGATACTTCAGTAGGTACTTTGCTAGCTTCATTATGCACCCCATACCCATCCTCTGGACAGTAACCAAATGATTACAGACATATAATGGGTCATGTTGTTATATGTTATAATATTATCCTTAATTAAACTTCTTGTTAATAGATCAGGGTTGTAATCTACTCCCTCAATGAAAGTATATGTCATCAGTTCTCTCATGTGTGTGAAGACCAGTGTGAGAGGGAATCCATAAGAGACTTAACTCCATTGTCTACAAAATTTTACCACACCTGTTTCTGACTTCTCATAAAAGCACAGTATGTCACAGTTGACTCTGATGGAGTTAAGAGCATTATCAATAATAGGGAATCACACTTAAGGTGGGTGGTGTTGGTAGTTCCCAGGCCCCAGGTTGACTTGTAGAATTGTATTCAAATCATTATAATTCAGTGCTACAGTAGTATCTAATAAAATGAAAAATTAATTTTGTATGTGACCATTTGATTACCAAAACTTTATACATATTACGCATATATTTTTGTATTTAACCTTGTTCCTGATACTCCCAGCTGTCATGGGAAAGGAATTACAGGTTGTATTTACAATATAAAATAATTTGTTGTTGTTAATACATTGTCATTTATTAATCAGGGTCCGGTGCATGGCAGAAGTGGAAGTATGAGATGCACATCCAAGAAGGACAAAAAATTATTTACCATAAGAATATCTCCGACACCTTGTATCAGGCCATTAATCTCAGACCTGGAACATTCTATGTTGTCAAGGTATTTGAAATAATAGTATTCAGCTGATAGTTGTACATTTGTAGTAGATAGTTGTACATTTTCTCCATGGGGAAGTGGAACAGAATTCTTCCTCTGTAAGCCATGCGTGTCGTAAGAGGCGACTAAAATGCCGGGAGCAAGGGGCTAGTAACCCCTTCTCCTGTATATATTACTAAATTTAAAAGGAGAAACTTTCGTTTTTCATTTTGGGCCACCCCGCCTCGGTGGGATACGACCGGTTTGTTGCAAGAAGAAGAAGAAGAAGTTGTACATTTATAATAGATGTACATTTATAATGGTTGTACATTTATAATAGTTATACATTTATAATAGTTGTACATTTATAATAGTTGTATATTTATAATAGTTGTACAATTATAATACGGTTGACAATCCCTAATCTGGCATCTTTGGGACTTGTAAGGTGCAGGATTAGTGATTTTGCCGGATTACAGAGTGGTAAGGTTAGAATACACAACCCAACGGCGATATTTACGCATCGGGTATTTCACCCTCTTTATGCCCTATTTTTGGTCCTTTCCATTGTTCCAGTCTACCAAACTCATAGCTATTTCGCTAGTATTCCTTCTATTCTGTCAATTGAGTACAAGAAACTGCTCATTTACCTATTTCAATTACCCAATAAAGTGGTCAGAAATTGGTATTTTGGCCAGTTTCAAGAGATGCCAAATTCAAAATAGGGTCCAGAATAAGTAATGCAGACATTCCTAGCACTAACATTTTCTCTGTTCATTAGTCACATCTCCAGGCCCCTGTATCCAGACTACTGATTTAATGCAATAATTGTATAAATAACATCAACCCATTCGTGATTGTGTATTAGACCATCCAGTTGGACATGTATTTGATGGTGACATCATTTGTTTACTCTTGAACATCAGCAAAAATCGAACATTTCTGCTGTTTTGAGCTCAATTTTAAAGTACTTTCTGGCATGAAACCAATTAAAATCATATCTATTTCTGTAATATATCTTCTATCCCATCAAATGAGACAAAAAAAAACAAACAATACAACCATACAAACCATGCAAAAATACACCGCAAAGTTGCTGTTTTACACAAAAAGCACAGTTGCCTTTTTTTCTCATGCACTATGTGCTGCAGGATTTTTTTTTATATAGTGCACACTTACCTCACAGACCTATTCTTTCATGTGTAGGCCCAAATTTAGCAGCCACAACTTACCTGAGTGAGCTGAACTCATGGTGACTGACAGTGGCTTCAAAGCCATCTTATCTTTTATGGACACTGTACGGTGTAAGTACTTTACACAACAAGAAGCATTTCTTTTATTCATTGGAACCATGGGTAGGACTAAAAGTGAGCAGGTTATAACAGTAAATGGAGAAAAAGAATTGGAATACTTATGCAGCAAGTCGCGCCACCCAATAGTAGCGGCAGGTTGGTGAGGTGACCCCGGAAATTTGAAATAATGCTAGCTGAAATTAGTGCCGGATTACTGATGGAACCAGATGACTGATTGCTGGATTAGTGAGGACGACCTGTAGTTGTACATTTATAATGAATGATTGTACATTTATAATAGTTATACATTTATAATAGTTGTATATTTATACTAATAGATAGTTGTACATTCATAATATATAATTGTACATTTATAATGGTTGTGCATTATAGGAAGTAGTTGTACATTAATAATAGTTGTTTACCTAGAGTTTACCTGGAGAGAGTTCCGGGGGTCAACGCCCCCGCGGCCCGGTCTGTGACCAGGCCTTCTGGTGGATCAGAGCCTGATCAACAAGGCTGTTGCTGCTGGCTGCACGCAAACCAACGTACGAGCCACAGCCCGGCTTATCAGGAACTGACTTAAGGTGCTTGTCCAGTGCCAGCTTGAAGACTGCCAGGGGTCTGTTGGTAATCCCCCTTATGTGTGCTGGGAGGCAGTTGAACAGTCTCGGGCCCCTGACACTTATTGTATGGTCTCTTAACGTGCTAGTGACACCCCTGCTTTTCATTGGGGGGATGGTGCATCGTCTGCCAAGTCTTTTGCTTTCGTAGTGAGTGATTTTCGTGTGCAAGTTCGGTACAAGTCCCTCTAGGATTTTCCAGGTGTATATAATCATGTATCTCTCCCTCCTGCGTTCCAGGGAATACAGGTTTAGGAACCTCAAGCGCTCCCCAGTAATTGAGGTGTTTTATCTCCGTTATGCGCGCCGTGAAAGTTCTCTGTACATTTTCTAGGTCTGCAATTTCACCTGCCTTGAAAGGTGCTGTTAGTGTGCAGCAATACTCCAGCCTAGATAGAACAAGTGACCTGAAGAGTGTCATCATGGGCTTGGCCCTCCTAGTTTTGAAGGTTCTCATTATCCATCCTGTCATTTTTCTAGCAGATGCGATTGATACAATGTTATGGTCCTTGAAGGTGGATCCTCCGACATGATCACTCCCAGGTCTTTGACGTTGGTGTTTCGCTCTATTTTGTGGCCAGAATTTGTTTGTACTCTGATGAAGATTTAATTTCCTCATGTTTACCATATCTGAGTAATTGAAATTTCTCATCGTTGAACTTCATATTGTTTTCTGAAAGCCACTGAAAGATTTGGTTGATGTCCCCCCTGGAGCCTTGAAAGTGTCTGCTTTGGAAGACACTGTCTGCAGATTCGGGTGTCATCTGCAAAGGAAGACACGGTTGCTGTGGCTGACATCCTTGTCTATGTCGGATATAAGGATGAGGAACAAGATGGGAGCGAGGTACTGTGCCTTGTGGAACAGAGCTTTTCACCGTAGCTGCCTCGGACTTTACTCTGTTAACGACTACTCTCTGTGTTCTGTTAGTGAGGAAATTATAGATCATCGACCGACTTTTCCTGTTATTCCTTTAGCACGCATTTTGTGCGCTATTACGCCATTGGTCACTTTGTAGAAGGTTTTTTGGAAAGTCTGTATATATTACATCTGCATTCTTTTTGTCTTCTAGTGCATTTAGGACCTTGTCGTAGTGATCCAATAGTTGAGACAGACAGGAGCGACCTGTTCTAAACCCATGTTGCCCTGGGTTGTGTAACTGATGGGTTTCTAGATGGGTGGTGATCTTGCTTCTTAGGACCCTTTCAAAGATTTTTATGATATGGGATGTTAGTGCTATTGGTCTGTAGTTCTTTGCTGTTGCTTTACTGCCCCCTTTGTGGAGTGGGGCTATGTCTGTTGTTTCTAGTAACTGTCGGACGACCCCTATGTCCATGCTCCCTCTCCATAGGATGGAAAAGGCTCGTGATAGGGGCTTCTTGCAGTTCTTGATGAACACAGAGTTCCATGAGTCGGGCCCCGGGGGCAGAGTGCATGGGCATGTCATTTATCGCCTGTTCGAAGTCATTTGGCGTCAGGATAACATCGGATAGGCTTGTGTTAATCAAATTTTGTGGCTCATAAAAAATTCATTTTGATCTTCGACTCTCAGTCTGGTTTTAGGGGCTTGCTAAAAACTGAGTCATATTGGGACTTGAGTAGCTCACTCTTTTCCTTGCTGTCATCTGTGTAGGACCACCCTTGTTTAAGTGGGGGCCCAATATGGACGTTGTTCTCGATTTTGATTTGGCATAGGAGAAGAAATACTTTGGGTTTCTTTCGATTTCATTTATGGTTTTTAGTTCTTCCCGCGATTCCTGACTCGTAAAGGATTCTTTTAGCTTAAGTTCGATGCTGGCTATTTCTCTGCCAGTGTCTCCCTACGCATTTCGATATATTGACCTCTTTTAGCCGCTTGTTATTCTTTTCCGTCGCCTGTAAAGGGAGCGCCTGTCTCTTTTCTATTTTACATCTACTCCTCCTTTTTCTTAGAGGAATAAGCCTTGTGCATACATCGAGTGCCCACCGAGTTTAATCTGTTCTAGGCATAAGTTGGGGTCTGTGTTGCTTAGTATATCTTCCCAGCTTATATCGGTTAGGACTTGGTTTACTTGGTCCCACTTTATGTTTTTGTTATTGAAGTTGAATTTGGTGAATGCTCCCTGGTGACTAGTCTCATTATGTCGGTCTGGGGCTCCCCGCATACATGTCTAAACCCTCAATTATGTTGTGATCTGAGTATATTGTTTTTGATATGGTGACATTTCTTATCAGATCATCATTGTTAGTGAAATGAGGTCTAGTGTATTCTTAGTCTAGTAGGCTCTATTATTTGCGGGTTTTTAAATTGAATTTTGTGCAGAGATTTAAAAGCTCGTGTGAGTGTGAGTTTTCATCAGTGTTGCTCCTGGTGTTATTACTGCAACAAAATTATTTGCTATATTCCTCCATTTTAGGTGCCTTAAGTTGAAATCCCCCAGGAGCAAGATGTTGGGTGCAGGAGCTGGAAGATTTTCCAGACAGTGGTTTAATTTTTAACAGCTGTTCCCGGAATTGCTGGGATGTTGCATCCGGAGGTTGTAGATTACCACAATGGGCTAGGCTTTGGTTCTCGACCTTTACTGCTAAAACTTCCCCTACATCATTTGAGGCATTAAGCAGTTCTGTGCAAACAAGTGACCCCTGCAATGTACAGGCCAACCCCCATCTTTTGCCTGTTCACTCTGTCACATCTGTATAGGTTGTAACCTGGGATCCATATTTCTTTGTCCAAGTGATCCTTTATGTGGGTCTCAGTGAAAGCCGTGAACATTGCCTTTGCCTCTGCAAGCGTCCACGGATGAAAGGTATTTTGTTGTTTGTTGCTGGCTTTAGACCCTGTATATTTGCAAAGAAGAATGTTATCGGGCTGGTGGTATTGTTGGTACTGGGGGGGATTTTTTTTCCGGCATTAGTATCTGTATCTGTTGGTTTGGAGTGGAGGCCATCGACTGTGGTTCCACTCTAGGAATGACTGGATTTGGTGAACGATTTCTGCCATTTCCTGCCAGTTTTTTTTCCTTCCTGGCACTAAAAAACCTCTCCCTCTTGAGTAGCTGTGGCTACCCAGGTTTTCCCATGGCCTGGATGTTTTGTATCTTTTTGTCCCCTTTAGATGGTATGCCTGGCAAT